ATTAAAAGAAAAACCTAAGAAAACCTTACATAGGACAAATACTTACGAATCATTCAAATGGCTGAAAACCAAATACAAAGGGGAAAAAAAATCTTTGGGGCTGGGGATGTGGCTCAAGCGGTAGCGCGCTCGCCTGGTGTGCATGCGGCCCAGGTTCGATTCTCAGCACCACATACCAACAAAGATGTTGTGTCCGCCGAGAACTAAAAAATAAATATTAAAATTCTCTCTCTCTCTCCCTCTCTCACTCTCTCTTATAAAAAAAAAAAAAGAAGACCATAGAAGAGTATCTTCATGACCTATGAGTGTAGACATTTTTGTTAAGCCACAAAAACTCTAAGCATAAAGGAAAAGACAAGCTTGACTACCTTTAAAACAGAATTTTCGCTGGGCAACGTGGTGCACACCCGTGATCCCAGTGGCTCAGGAGGCTGAGGCAGGGGGATTGTAAATTCAAAACCAGCCTCAGCAACTTAGCGAGACCCTAAGCAACTCAGCAAGACCTGTCTCGAAATTAAAAAATAAAAAGGGCTGGGGATGTGGCTCAGTGGTTAAGCACCTCTGGGTTCAATCCCTGGTACCAATAAATAAATAAAGAGTGAAAGGGAGCTACCAAGTGAGAAAGGGACTTGCAGTCCTGCATCCAGAACACACCGAGAACTCCACACTGACGGAGACGCCTGTGCGCACAAGACTTGAACAGGCGCACCGTAGAGAAGGTGTCCGAATGGTGGGTGAACACAGAGAAGAGGCTCCGCTGGTTTAGTCATCAGAGAGGCTAAGGAAACCCACTGAAAGGCCAGGACCCTCCAGGAGTGCCAGAGGTAGGCAACGGCCAGATCCCAGCAGGAGGGGAGCCCGGAGACCCTGGAACTCCCATCCTCAGCTCAGATGCCGATGATGCAGACTTGGAACACAGCTCAGCAGCGTCCCCTGGGTCTGGATGTTAAGATGTTCACAACTAAGCTCAGAAAAGCCTTTTTTTTGTTGTTGTTTTTTAACCACTCCAGGCCCAAGCCCCTCTGGGTCACATTAGGGGGATTCTAGGACACACAAGTTTCCATGCCTGGAATCAGGAGGCAACCAACTCAGGCACAGTTTTTTCAGAGTTGCCCTCAACCTTTCAGATTTTCCCTAGCTGCCTCTCCCCTGTGGCACTCTTGTGTGGCTCATAACTATGCTACTGATAAAAACGTGTCCCCCACATTGGACTGCAGGCTTCAAGTAAACACTTCAAGGCCACTTCTTCACTACTGTGAATCCCAAAACTTAAATTCCTGGGTCCAAAAGCCATGCATACTTTTCCTGTTATTTTTGAATTACACAATGTACGAATGAATACATCCTGTTTTAAAACTCAGCAATATCTTGCACAAGCCCTCCTAGGCGTTCCCTCCACAAGAGCAGCCAGGATCAGCAGTTTAGAATTACATCCTTCAGACCCTGTTCTTGCACTTATATGCATTCGTGCATGCATAAGTTACACACACAAACACACACAAACACACACAAAACCAATGGTCATAATTAGTTAAAAGCATAAAACTTTTGCTGAAGCAGGAGGACAGCAAATTCAAGGTCAGGGGGCTGGGGATGTGGCTCAAGCCGTAGCGCGCTCGCCTAGCCTGCGGTTCAATCCTCAGCACCACATACAAATGAAGATGTTGTGTCCGCCGAGAACTAAGAAAAAATAAATAAAAATTCTCTCTCTGTGTCTCTCTCTGTCCACCTCTCTCTCTCACTCTCTCTTAAAAAAAAAAAATTCAAGGTCAGCCTAACAACTCTTGGGGACCCTGTCTCAAATTTTAAGAAAGGGCTGGGGATGCAGCTCAGTGGTAGAGCTCTTACCACGCATATGCAAGGCACTGAGTTCCTCTTCAGCAACACACACACACACACACACACACACACACACACACACATACACACACACAGGGAAAAAAATTTCAAATCCCACTCACATCCCATGTGTAAATGTATGTTATTAACAGATACCATGAGTCTGTTTTCCATAAAGCTTATGGCAGAACACACCTGCCAGTAACAGAGTAAGGTCAGCAGTCCCCTCCGACTCTGGGTGTATTCCGCCTCTTGTCTGTGCCCAGCCTAATGCACCACAATCACCCTCCTGGTTTGCAACTGCACTTCCCACCCCAGGACTCCAGCCTTCGGTCCTTCTCTCTGTGGTTTCACAGACCTCAAGAAGCCCTCCCTCTCCACGCTGTCCAGCACCCTCCAGGAGACAAGGCTTTCCTAAGCTCACTCTTTTTTGGAGGGGAGGCAGGTACCTGGATTGCACTCAAGGGCCCACGACCACTGAGCCACATCCCCAGACCTATTTTGTGTTTTATTTGGAGACTGGGCCTCTTGCTTAGTGCTTTGCTGTTGGATTACTGTAGCTTTATGGAAGTGTTAATACCTGGTGAAGAAATTCCTCTGAAACTTTTAAAAAATTACGAGCAAGTTTTGCATGTTTTTCTTGGATGACTTTTTAAGTTTTTCTTTAGTTGTTGATAGACCTTCATTTTATGTATTAATAAGCGGTGCCGAGAATCAAAGCCAGGCTCCCACAGGCAGGCCACCGTGGAGCCCCGGCCCAGCCTTTGTCTCCCATGTTCATTTTTGTCTTTTTAGTGAATTTCTTGGGTTATTCTGCTTTGTGGTGCTGGGGATCTATCCCAGGGCCTCGCGAGAGCGGCCGCCCTCTCCCACTGAGCCAGCCAGTCTCTGTCACATATTTAAAGCATGGCTTTCTTGTCAGAATGGCATTAACTCTACTTAATTAAACGTTTTTATGATATTACACCTTCCTATCCTAGCCTTTTTTTTTTTGTCTTTTGGCAATTTTAATTATCAGATCCCAGACCTTTTTTGTTAAATTTATTCCTAAATTTTGCTGCTTTTATCATTATCATGAGTGGATCTTTATTTTATTAATTTATTTATTAGTACCAGGGATTGCGCTAAGTTGTTTAGGACCCCTCTAAATTGCTGAGGCTGGACTTGCATTTACAATCCTCCTGCCTCAGCCTCCAGAGCCATGGGAGCCTGGGATTACAGCAGCTGCACCAAGCATGACTGGAATTTTAAATGTCCACGTCTAACTGGTTGTTATTATTGACTTTATTTTGTTATTTTTATTTATTTTTGTGGGAGTACCGGAGATTGAACTCAGGGGCACTCCACCACTGAGCCACATCCCCAGCCCTATTTTGGTTTTATTTAGAGACAGGGTCTCACTGAGTTGCTTAGTGCCTCACTTTTGCCGAGGCTGGCTTTGAACTCGAGATCCTCCTGCCTCAGCCTCCCGAGCAGATGGGCCACGATTGACTTTTAAAGCGTTACTCTGTATCCAATCACTTCGCTGAGCTTCACACCAGTTATTCTTTCTTCGGGAATCTTTTAGTTTTCATGCTCTTTCACTTTCCCATTAGCTGGAGGGTGGTTGCCTCGCAGAGCCGCTAGAGGGCGTCCCTGGCCCTAGAGGGCGCCGCGGCCCTGGCTCTCAAGCCCGGTGCCAGCTCCCCTAGCCCAGCCAGGAAGCGCATCAGAAAGGCAGGATTCCGGTTGTGCCTGCTGAATCAGATTCCGCACTTTAACTAGATCCCCCAGAGGTCTGTAAGCACTTTGGACCAAGAAGCAGTGGTCTAGAAGGTTTCCATTCCAACTGGGGAGTTCTGAAGTCGGCTGGGGCTGTCGGATTCTATCAAGTACTTTTTCAGCAGCCCTCTAAAAAAAGGTTTCCTCCTCCTTTTTGTAGCTATCATGCATTTTGGGGCTCAACTTTCCACCTCTGCACCAGCCCTGTGTCCCAGGACACGAGGCCACCCCATAATCTCCAAGCTGCTCTTTCTCGCTTCCTCATTCCTGTCTCTCCAGGGTGTCGGGAGGCCAGGCTGCACTGGGCTGGCCTTGTGCCTCAGCTCCTGGTGGCAGGGCACACAGTGGCTGCCAAGAAAACCTCTGACTTAATCCGAGCTGCCATTCTCTTAGGGTTCAGCCTGGACACCCAGACTCCTCTGTCTGTGGATGGATTTTAATCTTGGAAAAAACGGGGTCATTCTCAAGACCACAGCTAACGGGATCCAGGCACCCGATACAAGAGCACCTGTGTGCAGCTCTACAGCTGTCCGGGGGTGGCAGGGTGGCCTGATCAGGGCAGCCCTCCCCAAGTGGAGACCCAGCCAAGCCCCAAACACGGGGCAACACAGGTGGAGACAGGAGAGCAAGCAGAAAGCTGGGTGCAGCAGAAGCTGCAAGGCCCGCAGGGAGGAGGGGAGCCGTGACCTAGCTCCCCGGAGCTGCGCAGGCCACTGCTAGAGCTGTGTGCCAACAGAGTCCCAGAGAGGGGCAGGGCAGGGCAGGGCGCCAGAGCCCAGCGGGGGGCAGATGTTACTGCTTGCCCTGGAGGGGCCAGGGCAGTGTGAAGCTCCGAACAGGGCATCATTTTTGTTGACTGAAACTAGTAGCTTAAATTTCTGGGCATGGGCTCGGCGTGGCAGGCCCTGTCTCCTGGCACGGTGCAGGGAGGAGGGCCCAGCCAGCCGGGGAGTCCACACTGGCTCTCCCCACTCTCCCCGGGGAGTCCACACTGGCAGCTCCATCACCCAGCTGGATGGAGGTAGGGGTGGCTGGAGGTGCAGCATCCTTCCAGATGGCTCTGAAGACAACATTGGTCCCTTTGATGGTCTCCTAGGGACAGGGGTGAGACAAGAGTGCCAGGAGGCCCCAGGAGGAGACACAGGGAGACAGGCTCTGGCAGGTCCTGTCCCAGGGTAGGTCTGGGCTCTGAGGCCACCTTAGGTTAGGACACTGCCTGAGCCTCAGTGGGCACTGATGAGGGCTGAGGCCCAGCCACAGTCTGGAGGGCTGCAGAGCCCACCTCTTCTTTGTCCTCTGTGGGCGACAGCTGGCCACAGGCAAGGAGCAGTGTCCACAGAAGCAGGGCAGCCGGGCCCCTTATCCTTGGGACTCCTGGTGTCCCCGCAGGAGCTGCAGCCTCAGGGGAGGTAGAGGGCCACCACAACATAGATGACCCAGCTGGTGGACACGAAGACCCCAAACAGCAAGCTGAAGAGCACGAGCGAGCGGGCCTTCCGCGAGGCCTCCGCAGCCTGGACGAGATCGCCCCTGCCCAGGGCTGCACGGGTCTGCAAGACAGGACCAGCGCGGGGTGAGCGAGCCGGAGCCCCAGGCCTTCCCGCACCCCTGGGGACAGGCCTGTTCCACAGACTGAAAACAGACACCCCAGGGAGCTCAGGGACCACAAGCCTGCAGAGATAGCCCGGTCCCTGCCACTCAGCAGCCCTCAGCTTCATCTCCAGCCACCTCCCAGCCACCCAGGTGGGGTCCTCATGCCGCCACCCTGCGCATGAGGAAAGGCTCTGGGTGGCAAAGTGACGCACAGGGCCTTCACTGCTGGGGTGGAGCCAGAATCGGGCAGGCCAGTGCCTCGGGGTTCCGCCTCCAAGCTGTCGTGACAGCTGTGCCCTCCCTGCAGTCCTGGCTCGCTGATGCCTGGGGCCAGACAGCAGAGCAAGGCCAGGGCTGTGACCAGGTCAGCCTGGAGCACTGGCCCCCAGGGGCTTGTCTGTATTGGAATGTCCCAGCGTTGGCATCACTGACTCCCCAGGGCCTCTTTGCAGGACATATGGTCAGCAATGTCACCAGGAAGGAGGGAAGACAGGGAGATGGAGGGCGGAGGGGCAAGGTGATGGACCGCAGCCCAGAGGAAAGGTGGTGGTGGGGGGAGAAATGGGGCTGGTGGGTGCAGAGGGTGTGTGGATGGACTGACGGATGGATGGATGGGTGGATGGATGGGTGTTAGCAGGTCATGGTGGGTAAACTGGGCAGCCCGATAGAAGGATAGATGGAGGTGGATGGACAGAAGAGTGGACTTCACCACCTGTTAAAACACAAGCCACCACTGGGGGAACACCTTGGGCCTTATCAGTCATTCACACCTCCGTTGCGATTTTTATTCTTTGTTTCAAGACAGGGTCTCGTCAAGTTGCTGAAACTGGCTTCAAATTTGTGATCCTCCTCCCTCAGCCTCGGAAGCTGTTGGGATTATAGGCATGTGCCACCATGCCTGGCTTTTGAATTGTTTTAGCAGAATTTTCCAGAGTAGATCTTGAGCAGTGGGGGGCACAGACAGGACAGGGGAGGAGGTCCCCACACAGAGATTCCCAATTCCCACCCCTCCTGAGAGATACACCAGAGGCCCTGTTGCTGGGAGAGGGGCCTGCAGACCTCCAAGGGCACTGACTGCAGGCTGCATGCAGGGAAGGGCTGGGCCCACCCACCTACCTCGTGGGAGTACACGACAGCGATCAGCCCAGTGAGAAAGCAGCAGAAGAGGGTCACCAGCACCGACTCCATCATGTAGTCCTTGGGCAGAGGCCTGTGCTCCACTGAGGGGGGTGCTGGCACAGCAGCCAGAGGGCTGTGGTACTGTGGAAGCAGGGCCACAGTGGTAAGGGAGGCCACCAAGCCCCAGACATGGTCCCAGCCTCCCCTCCACCGAGGACGGGTCCCTGAGGGGTGCCTCTCCTTCCTGCACCCTGGCCGCTCAGCCCCAGGGAGTCCTCTGGGCTCCCCTTCACACACTCCTGGTCCAGGCTGGGGCCGCGGCCACATGCCCCCACGGCAGCCCCAGCTCTCTCACTGGCAGCTGTGGCTGGGCTTTTCTTTAGGGGAACCTCCCGGGTGGGCCCCTGAGCCGAGCCCCTGGGCGCTCACTGCGGGCGCCGCTTTCTTCCCTTCCCGGCCCTCGGAGCCAAGCGGCCCCCACGGGTCGCCAGCGTGGGCCTGCACCTGGCCCTTCCTCCCGGAGACTCCTATGCACCCCTCAGAGCCCAGCGCGGGGGCTCCCTGGCGCGGGGGCCTCACCCTGGCCCGGCGCCCGGGTGGAGGGGCCGCGGGGGGCTGAGCGCGGGCGGCGCGGGCGGCTCACCACGGGGAAGGGGTAGGCGGCGGCGGGCGGCGGGTAGAGCGCGGCGGGCGCGGGCTGGAGCAGCAGGGGCACCTGCGGGAAGGGCGGGTAGAGCGGTGGCGCGGCCTTGGGCTCGGGCGGCGCGTAGGGCGGGGGCTCGGCCTCGAAGCCGATGGGTGCCCCGCCGCCGGCCGCCGTGGGTCCCGGGCCGGCAGGGCGCTCGGGCTGCGCGGGGGCTGCGGGCGCGACCTGGGCATCCCCGGGGCCCGGCCCGCTCCCCGCCGCCGCCGCGCCCTCGCCGGGCCCGCCGTCCTCGGCCAGCAGCTGCGGGCGGCGCGGGAGCTGCGGGAGCGCAGGGCGCTCAGGGGGCGCCGGGCTCCGGGGCTCCTCCGGGGCTGGGGGCGCGGGGCCCCGCGGGTCCTCCGGGTCTGCGGGGCTATCGCCCCCTTTCACATCGGGACCTGGAAAGAAAGGAGGCTGTGAGCCCCAAGAGGCCACCGGGCCACTTGGGACTCTGCCCCTCACGCCCCCAAAACGCAGTCCCTCCGGCGGGACGAAGCAGACCCTGCCCCACCGTGGATGTGCCAAGCGCCCGGTTCTCGCCGGCAAGTTCTTTACTCCAAGGGCAAGGAGCCCCTGAGCCCTGTCCCAGCTGCCAGGATCAGCCAGGGCCTCGGCTCCAAGACACCCACACCCCCCTGCGCACCACCTCTGGAGTCTGGGCTTGGCCACGTGGCGTCTGCGGGCAATGGGACATTGACAGCTTGCAATCAGGACCTGTAAACCGCATCTCCAGACGACCAAGGGAGGGATGGGGAGGCATGGGACCTTGGTAGTGGAGCATCCAGGAGGATGAAAACCTGGGGAGGGGTGGGATGGCCGCGCAACATCGGGAATGTGCTTACGGGCCCTCTCTGTGCATTTAGAAATGGGGAAGGTGGTAAATCTCTCCAGCTGGCTACAAAGAAAAGCTCCACACAAAATACAAAACCACCACCTGAGGGCACTGGAAAGTGAACAACTACAGGCAGATTGTGGAGTCCACGCTCAGAAGCAGCTTCAAGAGCAGAGTTTCAGTTTTCCAACTCTTTCCTTCCAAGCTCTGAGCTCCAGCCCCAGAGTCACAGGATGGGACATGCAGCAGAAGGGGTGACTGAAACTTCAACAGATGACCTGTCATTCCAGCCAGAGGAGACAGGGAGGGCCCTTGCAGATGGAAAGAGCCAGAAAAGGGCATCTCCTACTCCTGTGTGGAGCTGGGCAACCAACCTTTTTGCTCAGGACTTTCTTAGATTTACCTGGGAACTCCTGATTCTGGGCAAAGTGGGATCCTCGTCACTCCAGAAGGAAGCTCCCCAACCTGGGCTCACCCTGGCTCCGGTGCAGGGGAGGAACCCAGATCTACATAATGACTAGAAACCCAGGAGCAAAACAGGCTGTGGAGTGAGCCAACCAGGTGACCGTGGCAACCAAGAAGCCATCATTTCCAGAGCATTCTAAAGGCACCAAGAACCTGCCAGTGTAATATTCACCACATCCAGGGCAGATCCACGGTTATTTCCATATAAAATAGAATTAGGAAAATATGACTGATCCTCAAGGCAAAGATCGTCAATAGACGCCAATTCTGAGATGACCAGAGATTGGACACCAGGACCTAGTGTCCAATATATATCCATCTGGGATAAGTTCTCAGCAGAAAATTCGAGTTCTGTGTTGTTGTTGTTGTTTAAAGAACTAAATGGAAATTTTGAACTAAAATTCATAATTTCTGAAATTAAAAATGCATTGACTAGGGCTGGGGCTGTAGCTCCGTGGTAGAGCACCTGCCTTGTACGTGTGAGGCCCTGGGTTCCATCCTCAACACCACATAAAAAATGAATAAATAAAGATACTGCGTCCACCTACACCTAAATAAATATTTTTTTTTAAAAAAAGTGCAATGACTGGACATCAATAGAAGCCCTGAAGAAACAAACGGAGTCAATGAACTTCAAGACAGACCAATCAGAAGAATGGGGGGGAAAACTGAAAAAAGAATTAACAAAGACTTGGGGACTGTGTGGTAATACCCACCAGGGCTGGTGTGCCTGGGGAAAAGTTCCAGAAGACATTTTAGGGTAAATATTTTTGAAGAAATAATGGCTGCAAAATCCCCAAATTTGGTGATAGATAAATATAAAGATTCAGGAAATCCAAAAAGGGACTCCATGGGGAAATTATGTTAGCTCCATCATCATTAAATTTCTCAGAATTAACGATAATAACAAAGCTATGAAAAAAGGCAGAGGATGCCAGATCGAAGGCAGAGGAAGAACGGGAGAGCCCTGCACACATCTCCAGGAGACCACAGGGGTCAGAAGACAGTGGGTCAACCTGTGCTGAAAGGAAAGAGCCGCCAACACAGAACCTGATAGCTAAAGAAAAACTGGGCGCGGTGGCACACGCCTGCAATTCCAGCAGCACAGGAGGCTGACGCAGGAGGATCGCAAGTTCAAAGCCAGCCTCAGCAAAAGTGAGGTCCTAAGCAACTCAGTGAGACCCTGTCTCTAAATAAAATACAAAACAGGGCTGGGGTGTGGCTCAGGGGTTGGTGGTTGAGTGCCCCTGAGTTCAATCTCCAGTACCAAAAGAAAGAAAACACTCTCCAGGAAAAGGAACGCTTGAGCTTTCTGTTGCATAATAAATACATCACCACAAATAAACGATACTTATTATAATGCCCACCGTTCTGTCCGTCAGGCCCCCTCAACTTGGAGTGTCACAAGGCCAAGATTATGATATAAGGCAGACTAGGCTCTTATCGGTCAGTCTAGGAAAGAATCCATTTCCAAGTTCATTTGGGTTGTTAGCAAAAATCCAGTTCTGTGTGCGTGAGGCTCCTGTGTCCCTCCTGGCTATCATCCGGGGCTCATTCTGTAACCAGGGGATACTCTCTTTCTTCTCCCATGACTCCCTCCATCTCTTCAAAGCCAGGAAGGGCACATAAATCCTTTTCATACTTTGAAATTCTGTCTTCCCCTTCTGCTACCAGTTGGAAACATGTCTCTGTTTTTTTTTCCCCCTTCTGTTCTTCTTTGTGTAGCTGCGATCAAACAGAGGGCCTTGCGCACACGAGGCAAGTACCCTACCACTGAGCTGTGTACCCATCCCCTCTCCAATTCAGTGGGTCAGGAGCACCCAGAAAAATCTGTTTTAAGGTTAACTGACTTGAGCCTCCCATAACATCTGTCAAATCCCTTTGTAGATACTGAGATTAGTGTTTGATTTAACACTCTCCAGGAAAAGGAATGCTTGAGCTTTCTGTTGCATAATAAATACATCACCACAAAAATAGTAGTTAAACAATACCGATATGAGATTAGTGTTTTATTTAACCAGGGGGTGGGAATCTTGGGGGATCATCTTTGGAATCCTGCCTACTGCAAGTAAAACAAAGACCATTCTCAGATGAAAGAAAACTAAGAGACTTGCCATAAAAGAAAGAGCCAGGTGTGGTGGTGGACGCTTGTAACCCCAGCTGCTAGGGAGGCTGAGATGGGAGGATAGCAGATTCAAGGCCAGACTGGGCAACTTTGTGAGACCCTGCCTCAAAAGTAAAAAGGGCTTGAGGTGTAGCTTGGTGGCAGAGCACTTGCCTAGCATGCACAAGGCCCTGGTACCATCAAACAAACAAAAACACAGACCAATATCCTTCATGAATAAAAAGAAAAAAATCCTTAATTAAATAGTTGCATGTCAAATATTAAAAGGAATACATGGGCTGAGAATGTGGCTCTGTAGCCAGGTGTTTGGCTGGCATGTGTGAGGCCCTGGGTGTGATCCCCACCATCAACTCCCTCCCAAAATCACAAACAAACAGGACCATGCAAAATAGGTTTGACATTTGAAAATCAGTCAGTATATTAGAAGAATAAAGAGAAAAAATATAGAATCATTTCAATGGATGAGAAAAAAAGCATTTGGCAAAATCCAATGCCCATTAGCAAAGATACTCACATGAATTTTTAGCAATAAGAATAGTAAGAACATACTCAAATTGATAAGGGGCATCCATGAAAGAAAACCATTAAAGGTAAAAGACTGAATTCCTCCATCCTCCCCAAGATCAGAAACAAGGTAAGGATCACCATTTTCTGACTTCTATTTAACTTATTCTGGTGTCTTGACCATAGCAAGAAAGCAAGAAAAAAAATGTATAAAGAAGTCTTACCACTCTATGATTCAAAGATCTCAATAAGAAAGTAGGTGAAATACATGTAAACCCTTCACCAAAGAAGATATTTGAATGGTCAATAAGCATATAAAAAGATGTCATTGTCATTAAGGAAATACTATAAGAAGACATCACCACATGCCCTTTAGAATAGAGACATTATATGGGGTCTTTGTTGCCCAGGCTGGCCTTGAAGCCTGGGATCAACTGATCCTCCTGTCTCAGCCTCCAAGTAGCTGGAAATACAGGCTTTCACTCCCATGCCCAATCCCAGTTAAATTTTTTTTTTTTTTTAAAGAGAGAGTGAGAGAGGGGAGAGAGAGAGAGAGAGAGAGAGAGAATTTTTTTTTTTAATATTTATTTTTCAGTTCTCGGCGGACACAACATCTTTGTTGGTATGTGGTGCTGGGGATCGAACCCGGGCCGCACGCATGCCAGGCGAGCGCGCTACCACTGAGCCACATCTCCAGCCCCCAGTTAAATTTTTAACACAACAAAACTGACCTTAGCGTATGTTGGGAAGGGAGTAAGATAACTGGAGCTCATACACAACTGCTGGTGGGTAAGTGAAACAGTATCACCACTTTGGAAAAAACTTGACACTTCCTTCAAATGTTAAACATACCTCTACCATATGATCCAGCTATTCCACTCAAGATATTTATCCAAGAAAAACATATGACCACACAGATTTGCTCATGAATGTTTGTATCACCTCTCTTGGTAGTGTCTCCAAACTGGAAACAACACACATATCCAACACACATAAAAATGCATGGGTAAGTCATTTGTGCTGTCTTCATACATCTGAAATGGACCCCAGTGATTCCTGTTTCATGGAACTGGTGCTCTTGGGGAATCCTCCCCTGGAATAGGGGCTGCACGCATGACTTGCTCATGAAGAGGACACAGCTGAGACACAGGATATCCCTGCTAAGGGTAGGGGTCTTTGTTTTGTTTTGTTTTTGTTTTTGGTACTAGGGATTGAACTCAGGGGCACTCGACCACTGAGCCACATCCCCAATCCTGTTTTGCATATTATTTAGAGACAGGGTCTCACTGAGTTGCTTAGCACCTTGCTTTTGCTGAGGCTGGCTTTGAACTCTCCATCCTCCTGCCTCAGACTCCTGAGCCACTGAGATTACAGGCCTGCACCACTGCACCCATCTACCAGTAGGATTTTAAAAGCCTGTGGCTTCTCCTCACTTGCTCTCCGCTCCTGCTTGGTGTTCCCTCTCTTTCTGTTTCTGGTAACTCCAAGAGGAAGCAAGGCTCTGTGAGAAGCCCCACGCAGAGGCCCATTTTGCATGGGCCCTTACTCCACAGCTCAGGAGGAACCAAACCTGCCAACACTCAGATGAAGGAGTTTGGAAGCAAAGCTTTCAGCTCCTCCTGAGTCTTCAGATGAGCACCAGTAGCTGGTGAGGAACTCAGAGGCCAGGTAGCTAGCTCAACTGTAGCCAGATCCTCACCTGTAGAAACTCTCCAGTAAACACTGCTTATTGTTTTAAGCTTCAAATTTGGGAGTAACTTGTTATGCAACAACAGCTTACTGATACAACTTCTTAGCAATCAAATGGAAATGAACCCTTGACACAACGTGGGTCTATCTCCAAATCATTATGTCAAGTAGTGAATCCAGCCAGGGGCACAGACCTGCAAGCCTGTAGTCCCAACTACTCAGGAGACTGAGGCAGGAGGATGGCAAATTTGAGGCCAGCCTCAGCAACTTAGTGAAATCCTGTCTCAAAATAAAAATAAAGAAGTCTGGGAAGGGCTGGGTTGTGGCTCAGTGGTAGAGCATTTCCCTGGCATGTGTGAGGTCTTGGGTTTGATCCTTAGCACTGCATACAAATAAATAAAATAAAGATCCATTGACAACTAAAAAAATATTGTTAAAAGATGGGTTCTGGGGATGTGGCTCAGTAATAGGGCACTTGCCTAGTGTGTATGAAGCCCTGGATTTCATCCTCAAAACCACAAAATAAAAATAAAAACAAAATGCTTGCACACTGGGGCTTGACATCTTGTGTTGCTGGGAATCTGCACCACAGCAGCCTTCCAGCGGGGCCAGGGAGGATAAGGTACCCCGAGGATCAGCTGTAAGGATGAGATACCTCAGAGGATCCCCTGGCCATCCCCAGACCACCTGCCCAGGTGAGCTAGCCCTGACAAGCAGGTGTGGCACAGGAGTGAAATGCTCTGAGCCCTCGTGTCCCCATCTGTAAAGTAAGGATAACATTAATAGTAATTTTAAATACTATCAGTGGGGCTGGGGCGGGGGCTCAGTGGTAGAGGGTGGCCCCGCATGTGTGAGGCCCTGGGCTCCATCCCCAGCACCAAGACAACCAAAATAACAGCAAACACAGACCAGGCTGCTCCCAGAGCTCCTCTCTGCTGTCCTCACCTGTGAGCGCTTCTGTTTTTATGATGGCATTTCACAGCGGGGAGCTCAGGCTCCTAGCAAGAGCCTCAGCCAGCAAGATCCCTTCTGGGGTGTTGTCACAGGAATGTCGAGACCCTGCCCCAGTTATCATAACAGAAACCACAGTTTCCTTGGATCCCGCCAGGGCAAATACCTGGCCCGATGGCACCGAGATAGGGCCGCAAAGTAAATAAATCTGCAGGCGGCTGGGCCTGGTCTGGGGTTCTCAGGTTTTGGACACCTGAGCCTGGGACATCCCAGCCAGGAAGGGAGGCCTGGGCTACAGCCTGGGCTGCAAAACGGGGATGAAGTTAGGGTCTTGGAGAGACCGCCAGCCTTCGCTGCCACCCTCCCGGCAGCATCCCCTGGCTCAGGTGGCAGATGGGATCTGGGTGCGGTCATCCCAGCTTCTGCAGGTCAGCGGGGCCGGAGGTGGCAGTGGAGGGCATCAGGGCTCCGCACCGTCCCGCCACCACCGAGGGCAGGGGTCTTGTTTCCCGGCTGGGCCCCTTCTGTGCTGGCCGAGGCGGAGCCCTGCGAGTGTGCCACCTTCCTCTGCCCGTCTTCTCCGGGCCTCCCATCCCGCCTCCCGCCTCTCTCGGTCTCTGCAGCAACTCGCCCGCGGGCTCTTCACCCCCATCTTCCTCCCTCTCTCTCTGTCCCCCTTTTCGGGGTCCCATTCCCCTGCTCCAGGACTTCAGCCTGGCCAGAGGCGTGAACAGGGTCCCCAGATGCAGGACGAACAGGGGACGCTGGGGCGGGTGGGGAACGCGCCCGACGTGCGGGGGGGGGGGGRGGCCAGGCCAGAGTTCCCGAACTTTCCACGGAGCATCCTGGTGCCCCCCGCCAGGCCCTGGGCAGGGGTTCCGTGAGCCCCCTCCTGCGCCCTCCCGCACCCACCGGGCGCCCCGCGCCCGCCGCGGCCCTCACCTGCGTCCATGGCGCGAGCCGCGTCCGGTGCGCGCGGGATGCGCTGCTCCCCGCCCGGCGCCTCCCGTCGGGCCGGCTCGGCTTGCGGCGCCGGCTCGGGTTTCCTGGTGCCGGCAGCGCGGCCGGTTAATAATTGACCGCCTTTGTTTGCCGACGGCTGTGTCAACACTTGGCTCCTTGCACCCCGCACCCGGCGCTCGGCCCCAACCTGCCTCGAGGCCCGCCGCAGCGGACCTGTCTGCGCCGGGACTGCGCAGCGCTTTTCGGAGTGGGGGGCGGGGGTGCTGGGGAGGCCAGCGGCCCAGGCGATTGCCCCCTTGAGGACTGGGGGAGGCCCCCAGGAGAGGGACGTCGGGGCTCCCCAGCCCACCCAGCCAGCCAGAAGAAGGTAGAAAGGTGGATTTTCATGTGAAATTGGAGACTTAGAACATCGTGCAGGAGACTTCCCCTCGAAATGCAACCGACTGGGCACCTGAAGCAGATCCCAGTCCAATCATCTGGAAACACAAATAAACAACTCTCGCGCCAGTTTTTTGCATCCATAGCTGAATGTGTAGGTATCGAGGAAGATTCCCCAGGAGCCGAGAATGCAGAGTCAGCAAAGATGGGCCCGGAAGCCATTGCGTGTCTCAGCGGTCTCAGAGGTCCAGGGCTTGCGGCTTACCCCAGGAGTGGACTGGAGATGGAACTCCGGGTCAGTGAGACTGAGCGATAGGACCAAGAGAGGTGACAGGGAAGCTGGGTCTGGATGAAGACATAAAATGTCCGGGGTTGCACCCGTGCACTGTGTTCACACTCAGCCTGCCCTCAGGCAGCCTAGAAACTTCTAGATGAAAAAACATTGTTAAAAAGCAGGCCCAGGGGTGTAGATCAGGATAGAGCCCTTGCTCAGCACAGGCAGGGCCCAGAGTTCCATCTCCAGCATCACAAAATAAAAAAGGCCTGAAGGTGGGAATCCAGGAAAGAGCTGTGGGACTTACTCAAAGCAAATGCAAAACTCCTCAAGCAGGACACAGCCCCATTGAAGCTGGGGAGATTTCCCATGGGAAAAGCACTCAGAGGTGAGTTCACAGTCCCCAATGGCAGAACCCACAGGGAACAGCCCACCATGAGGGAGAGACAACAGATCAGCACTGCAAGATTCAACTCTGGGTGAGTCAGGATCTGACCAGGAAAAACAGAACCCACGTGGAGTGTTTAACACAAAGTTATTCACTGTAGGGAGCTGGCTTTACAGACAACAGAAGAGGCAAAGTTAATCAGAGGAGATTTAGCATGAAGACAAAGTTGATGTGACAGAGCAATACACTCAGGGCACAAGGTGGGTGAGGTCCACCCTAGGGGCTGGCAACAAGTGGGCAACCTTGGAAAAGAATTCAAAGACAAGAGTAGATGACTAAAAGTGGCTCTGGTCTTAACTATGTGACAATAATTCTAAATAATGCCAGTGGCAAAATTCTCCACCCTGAAAAGAATCTTGTTCTGAATGATTCCTGTGGTTACTGCAGCTCCCAGAAATCCTGTGGACAGGCTTCCACATTCCTGGCAGACTAGGAGAGTCCTCTCCCACGAACATCCCCCAGGGGAGAAGAGCAAGATGTAAAACTACCTATCGGTGTTTCCTCAGTGAAAATCCCCAGCCAAATAACCTCCCACCTGCTCGCAGAAGCCCCACCACCTTTCTAGTCCTGGAACATCAGGGACCACTTACCACAGATCTGAAGAAGCAGCTCACCTGGAGGAGACACAAACAAATGGGGGAAGAGAAGCTTAGAGGGAATAAAAAATAAAGAAGAGTCAGGGAAAATAATATTTTTAAAAAGGACTGTTAAATATCCCAAGAAAAAGCCAAGTAGGTGGCACATGCTGTGGCTACTTGGGAGACTGAAGAAGATCCTAAGTTCAAGGCTAACTCAGACCACTGAGCAAGATGTAGGGGGAATGGAATGTAACTCAGGAGTAAAGCACTCCTGGTTCAGTCCCTAGTGCTGCCAAGAAAAAAAGATCCAGAGATTAGAGAAGGCACTCATGAAACAAGAATAGAATGCTGTAAAAAAAATTCATAAAACAAAAAGTTCTTGAGAATTAAGAATTTCACAGCAAAAATGAAACACAAAACTCAATAGAAAGTTGGGAGGTAGAGATAGAGAAAGTCTGCCAGAGGAAAAATATAAAAGTAAGGGGAAACATTCCAGAGACAGCCCAGGACAACTCATCTCCGAGAAATATGAGTTCCACAAAGAATAAGGAATCACAAAGGGGAAGAAAACATCAAATGAAGAGTCCAAGAAAATTTTCCAGGACTGAATCTTCAGATGGACAGAGCTCACTAAGGGTCCAGCACACAGGAAATTGGCCACTCCAAAGGGATATGATTGTGAAATTCTAGAATATAAGGAACAAAGAAAATTTTTATAAATTTTCATTGGAAAAAAGTAAGTTTCAGGCACTGGAGTTGTGACTGGGTTTAATTCTCAGCACCACATACACATAAATAAAATAAAGGTCCATTAACAACTAAAAAATATTTTTAAAAAAGTAAGTTTCAAGTGCTGGGGTTGTGGCTTGGGGTAGAGCTCTTGTCTAGCATGCTTGAGGCACTGGGTTTGATCCTCAGCACCACTTAAAAAAATAAAATAAAAAGGTATTGTGTCCACCTACAACTAAAAAATAAATGTTAAAAAAAGTGAGTTTCATACACTGGATCAAGAAAGAATCAGAATGACACTGAATTTCTCAATAGGAACTTTGAAAATAAAAGAACAACAGACGAATGCTTCAAAATTCTGAGGAGAATGAATTTCTAATTGCAGTGGCCAGTTCCTTTTGAATATGGCAGAAATGACCCCAGATGACTTCTGTGGTCCAGTATAGATGCAATGGGCTCAGGCTGGGCTGGGGCTCAGTGGCAGAGCGCTTACCTCGCATGAGGCCCTGGGTTCCATCCTCAGCCCCAGATGAAAATAAATAAAATTAAGGTATTGTGCCCATCTACAATTAAAACAAATGTTTTTAAAAGCCGTGTACTCTCACTCTAGGGAGTCCCCTCTTTCTCCAACCATATTCTAATTAGTTCATAACAGCGCCATAGCAGTTGGTTTAAGGATGCTACCCAAACACTGCCCAATCCCAAACCCCACACCCTGGAAGACATTCTAGACAGGACACTTCTACTGTGATTCTCAAGTCAGGAAGCCGCTCAGGGCAGCAGCCAGGCTGGACTGGTGGTTTCATATTTATACTTTCACTGTTGGTTAAGTGTTTATGTGGAATGGACTTGACCTTGATGGCTCATTTTCCATTGGCTCCATTTGCACTCCTGGGTTGGTCAGATCCATGTGCAAATCTGCAGTGTTTCAGATTTTGCTGGTCACCCTGGTGGGGGGCAGTGAAGGACAAATAGCCACTGGGGCTGGTAGACAAGCTGGGTTCCCTGAGGTTCCTGGTGGTGACGCCAGACCTTGGGGCTCAGCGTGACTTCCTCCACTGAAGCCCCCAGTAAGGGTGTGCCTGGCATCTGCCAGCACAGCTGGTGGCTGGTGCAGGGGCAGCTAGCAGGAGCTGTGCTTGGGCCTCCCTGTGCCATCACAGCTGGGGGTGGCTCAGCGTCTAGTAGTGCAGAGGGTTAGAGAGCCCTAGGCCCTCTTCGGGGAAAGGGCGGTGGAAGACCTGACATGCCCTTTGGACCTGAGCTGCCAGGCTGCGAGGAGCCCAAGTTGTAGGAGAGGACACTGTGAGCGTTTGGGGTGATGGCCACTGTGGGTAGCCTGGTGACAGCCCCAGCTGAATTCATAAGAGACATCACGAGCCAGCCATGCAAATGAGCCAGCACGGGCATGCCAGTGCAGGGGAGCCACAGGTCACCCCAGGCCCACATCCATCTGGCTGCCACCAATGGAGCGGCCCCCAGAGAGCCACAGCCATGCCAATCAATGCCAGAACCACGAGAGAGAACAAGTGGCATCTTAAGCCATTAAGTATTGGAGTGCTTTGTTTTGTAACAACAGAGAATCAGAAAACCCACTGGAATTCCATAGCCAAGCAAAAAGATCAACAGAGCACAAAATAAAGGTAGAATATTCAGGATCTCAAAAGTTCCACCTCCCGTTGCCTTTCTCAGGAAGCATCACCCCAACGAGGAAGAAAGAAAGAGGGAGGAAGCCTGGGCCCAGGCTACAGGAGAGAAGGCTTAGAAATACTGCCCAGAGATGAAGGCTGCAGGGGGGGCCCAGAGGGGCAACCCCAGAGAACCCGCCAGAATTAACATCAGCCTCCAAGTTGCACAGATCCGGGCAGGCACACAGCCCAGAAGACCCGCCCTGCGCATCCCACATCCCTGCTGCAAGTGGGTGGGGCCACCTCGCCCGAGGCCAGCCAGGCAGCAGTGAGTGAGGGCTCAGGGTGAAGGACGGAAGGAACCACTGTCAGCCCAGAGTGCCACGCCCAGCCACGTCTTTCTTAAAAATAAAATTTTTGCTTCAGTAATGGCACCCACCTGTCATCCCAGCTACTTAAGAGACTGAGGCAGGAGTATGAGTTTATGGCCTGTCTGGGCAACTTAGAAAGACCCTGTCTCAAAAATAAATAAATAGATAAGAATTTAAAAGATTAAAAAAAAAAAAAACCCTCTAGGGGCTGGGGCTGGGGCTCAGCGGTAAAGAACCTTGAATGCATATTACCAAGTGCAGGAGGCCATTCTGGAAAGCTTAAATGTGGGCCCCTGCTGCAAACCCCCTGCCAGGCCTTTCTTCATTCCAAGGGCCTGTCCAGCTGCTGGTCCAGAGGTGCTTTGGGGTTGGGTGGGGGAAGAGGCAGACCACAGTACAAGTTCATAAATGTGGGACAAATAATGGAGCGAACCAGGATTTCCTCCTGAACCTTGTGCTTCACAAGATGTGGGGG